ATGCAATATTTCTACATCAGTATTCCTCATGCTGCAGTCTAGACAGTGTCATTAAAAATTGATAGAAGAAAACCAGGTTTCCAGTAAACTGACTGACCGCTGGTTTGCTCCCGGTGCTCCTGGCTCAAAGTGGTCGTTTCGGTGTCCACTTTGCGCCGGCACTGGCCCTGGCCCTGCACCAGTTGCTCCAGGGGAAGCTCCGAGTCGGGCGTCGGGTAGCACCGCAGACCGGTGGAGCACCTCGGGGTGTACACGCCGCACATCTCGCCCTCTTGCCGGGCGCACACGGGGCAGCACCCGCAGCCCGGTTCGCGCACTATCTCCGCGCAAGTCTCGGTGAGCTTTGGGCACAGCGCCTGGCGCTCCGCGGTGCAGCCCGGGCAGCGGAACACCATCTCGGCCAGGGAGGCACCGGCGAGAGACGCGGAGAGGATCAGCAAGCTGTAGCCCGCGTACGACATTGTTACAGGCATGAGGTTTTTGGTCATTATCATGGGTCGATGGAAGGCAATCCCAAGTGGGGGAAAAAGAAGGGGGAAGAAATGTGCATGCGAACAGGTGAAGCCGGGGGCTGGGAGGTCTGCTGGGTCCTACAAATTCCCAGGTTTGCTCTTGGGGCCACATGTTGGTGCTGACTTGGGAAGATAAGAAGACTACAGGATTTAGTTCAAATGTCATCTTTTAGATCTGATGATAAATTGGCAGCAAGATGCACAGACTACTCGAGAAAATATTAATTTGCGCTCCAGCACTTCTTGTAATCTTTGTCCTCTAACTGGCTGACAGCCCAGAATGAGAATAATGATCTAAAAAGTTGGGGTGAATAGGCTAAATTGAAATAATTTACAGCTGGCTAGCACCTCTAGTTAGAACAGCTGTTCTATGCCTTTTCTGCAACTGATGCATTCAAAGATGGATGTATTTACTCCCTTTGCACAAATCACCAAGTCATGTCAGATGACCATTTTTAGACATATCCTAGTATTAAATATATTTAAAAAACATAAAATATATTAAAGTAAATCACAGCTAAGGCGTTCAGATGTTCCCCCTAAAGGGACAGTCACATAATTTATCACCTTAAACAAATACCGTCTTTCTTGTCCTCATTCATTATTCCATGTTTCTTTTTTATGATTTTTATTGCAAGACAACTCAAAAGAAGACAAGTGTCCCTATCAGCATCTTTTAATTCCCCTCTAGGCGACCTGCTTTTCTCTGGTTGAGCATGACCTCTGACCTCTTCCTATCAATTAATAAATAAAATTGCTGCCCTGATTGTAAAACAGAATTTATAACACAGACGTAGATGTGAAGCTTGAACTCCAGTATCAAAAACAAGGCAGTAAATTATAGCTTCCTGGCTGCAAGATTCATATAGATACTGTGTGGCATGTTTGTTTCAATCAGCACAGTCTGCCCCAACTCCCAGACTGCATAAATAAATAAACAAACAAACAAAAGGACTATGTGCAGAGCATTCCTTACATGGAAAGACCTCCCCACCGTGGCAGACATGTCCATTGACACTCAATTAAAACTCGCCAGCTGCTACCAACTTATATGCCTGTGTACAGTAATGCTACTGTGCACGTATACAGCAATGTTTCCTATCGATCGGTGAGGCCAAGCCTTGAGGTGTCGTGCTTGCCCACCGAACAAGCTCCTATTAACCCTGTCCAGTGCGGTAGACTAATCGGTGTTTATCCAAGAGCCCAGAAATAGAAGTGGCGTGTGTAACCTTACTCCACAGATATAAATGCAGATTATTTTGTTTTGTGGGTGCCCTCTGATTTAATACTATTTGGCCCTATTCACGCTCGGCATCCTAGCTCGACATGAGGGCGTGGGGAGGGAGAAAGGGCACATTTGAAGCTGTCTTGCATCTCAGGGGGTGTGAGTCAGGAGGATGCCCAGAGGGCTGTTTGCACATAGAACCTCATATGTCATTTTATGAAACCATGGATGGAAAAGCAGCGGGATGGCCACCAGCTAATAGGCCTAACAGGCCGCAGTATCTGCCCATGTGTGCAAAGTAATCCCCACCAAGGTCAGTTACTTAAATTCCTCCTCATGGAACTGTTAAGCAAACACAAACTCTGGATAAACTCCACATTGATAGAGGAAGGTATGGGATCACTGATGGGCCGAGGACACATACAGTACATGTGCCTCAGCGAGTATACAGAGAGAGGTTTGTAAGCAAGAGCTCATCTTCTTAATTACAGTACAGCAAGTCCCCGAAACTCTGCCCGTCCTTTTAACCACATCACAACACTTTATTTCATCCCCCTCTTTAGCATTTATAAGCAGTATATAACCACCTAATTCATGCTTTATACAGCAACACACTGGACAGTTTTAAGTGTTTATGCATTCTTCTTAATGACATTGTATATAATGACAAATAATTCAGATGGTTTTAAAATGTTATTCAAAACTCACGAAGAAATATCTTTATATATGATTACAACTCATATGGTGAGTTATACTTGACAACACTTGAAATCTGTTTACAACTACAGTGGGCTATAAAATGTCTAAATGCTGCTTATAAATATTAAATAAGGGCTTTTAAGATAAGATGAAGTGTAAGCCAATTACAACTCATATATAGCATGAATCTTTAATATATATACATATTAAACACCAAAATCTCCAACTGAAAATGTCCATAAATTCCACTTTGGTCCAAAACAAAATAACCTCTCTGAATGAGCCAAATTTTTTAATTCTAATCTATTTGAACTATAGGCAATTAACGTTTGTAACGCCGCACTTTATCCAGCCTGATTTGGAGCTTCTAGGCCTTACAGCGGGGTTTCTGGAAGTACAAAAGTTACAGAGACTGTAGTGTCTTCCTTTAAACACGCTTTAATTTGTCGAACGACAGTCTCTAAATCCAAAAAATGCATATTCTGAAAGCAAATAAAACAATGTATAGTGTTACAGTAATTGTGGCTCTGTGGCTCTATACTGGGTTCTTATCAACGGAGGCAGATCACTAAAGACATCCTCAAGGTCATTTTTCAGACCTTGATAGTGAAGCACACTCAGGCACCTTTTTCTACCAAATTAGCTCTTCTTCTTATACCGGCTTGGAACCAGCCTGTATTTCCTCTATGGTGTTTTATCTATCATAGGGGCATCCAAGAAGGCACGTTTGCTGCTTTTTAAAATACAAAAATTGAGGCACCAGGGATGGCCGATCTATCCGCTTTACCCCATCCCCCTTGCGAGTCCACCATTAAGTGCACTGTTTAGTGTTTGGCTTTGAGTGTACTTAATTAAGGCTCCCTTTGCTTGGACTACTGATTAGATAAGTAGAGGCAATAAGTAGGCGGTTGGAAAAGTAATTTATCATCTGATTAGAGTGATCTGTACAAAATGATGTTATACAGGTCAGACTAAACAGCTGGATTGTGTATATATGTCCTAAACTAAAAATGTCATTGGAAATTGGGTTGCGAAGCGTTTTTATGTGAATGCATTAGAAAGAGTTCATATGGGTAAAAAAATAAAATAAAATAAAAAAAGCTTTTTTAACTGGTGCAACGTGCAACATCTCCCTGAATGGAAATGTTTACCAAATTACAGTACATGAATCCTTACACGGAAATGTTCACATCACATGCCCCAAATGGAAAAATGCTGGTGTGTGTGTGTGTGTGTGTGTGTGTGTGTCAGTGTGTTTGTTTGCTGCCTAGCAACAAGTGATGCATGTGCAAATTAGGAAAGTTCTTGCTTTATTTGGTCATGCAAATCTTTGTGGAGTATCTGTTATGGAGCCACAGCGTTACGTATTCCCCAATGAAACAAAATAAAGACCTGCCGAAAACCGCTCTCCTAATGTGTTCAGTTAATGGGTCTACAGTGTGAGAGTCCAGTTGAAGCTCTCAGCCTGGTTATATGCTGATGTCAGCTCACTATACACTGACATAGGCCTACTGTTTTTCCTGTGACAGAAGCTCTAAGCAATAGAATCCAACAGGCGTTTCATGTCACACAATTATCTCTCGACTGTGAAAAAATTAATCCTGCAGCACAAATTGAAATCAGACTGTTTTAATTTGCTTTATTCAGAAATCAGTACACTGTCTTTAAACCATGCAAAGTAAGCATAAATAACACTCACACACCTTGGCCAACCAGCAACCGAGTTCTGTTTTATATTGGTGCCATGACTCGGATATGGTTTGAGCAACATCTGCCAACAGGCAGACGTGGTGTGAGATCCAGGTTGGTAAATTTGACAGCTGGCATTTATTAAAAACCTCAGCCACCACAAAGCCTGTGCCATATTGCTTGGGTCTTAAAAGCTGGGAAGCACAAAAGCTCTAGTATTAGCTTCTGTTGTCTGTGTCTGACTTTAGGTTGAAACATGGACCTAACGTTTGCACAAGGCTGCAAAAAATAAAACAAAAGAATATCACGCTATCCGCTCACGCACGGCGCAGCTGTTAGCTGTCTGAGGTATGAGTGGTTGGATGGACCTGGTGTCTTTGCTGTATGTAGTGAGGACTCAATTTGAGGTTTTCATTTGCACTCATGTTATCATATGTTTAGGCCTATGTGTTGTGAAGTCTGGGATCCTTGCTAGAGTGCGCCCCCCAGTGGCTATCTGTAGTAATTAGTTAAGAGCAATAGCATCAAACCCACAGTAATATACTTATTTAGTGTGCTTTTAAGATTGAGCCAATGTTTAAAATTGGGATTCCATGTAAATATCATGGCATCATTATATCATAATACGTTTTCTAATACGAGACAGCATTTAAAATGGCATTTGTTTCTCCTTTTTGTCTTACAAACAGAGGATAACGAAGCTATAATTATAGGAAACACTTTAAAAATCATGAAACACTCCAATTTCGTCATTTAATTGGACATTGGACAGTATGGAAAGAGAAGAGGTTGCGACTTATTTTGAACAACTCTCCTTTTTGGTGTACCGGGGCCACCGTAGAGGCTTTAGGCAGTTCGGTCATGTGACGAAAAAAAAAAAAAAAATGTCAACATCACTGTGCATTGCACCACGGAAACAACAAACAACCACCGAAAACGTCGCTTGTTTTTCCTCCGTTTACAAAAAAATGAGCCCACTTCGGCACTGACCTCGAGGTAGAACTTTATGTCAGCCGTCCATTCCTCCGTCTGTCACCGCACAGGTAAGCGTTTGTAGCTTAGCTCACCAGGAAATTGGTCAGCTAGTTTGCATGAGCTGCAGCAGGTGGAGAGCCAGCCTGTAAATGCACAATAACACGGTACACTATCATACAACTGTTGTATATGTGGGCTGCTGAACAGAAGGTGGGAGGAATACTGTGTTTTCTGTCTGATGTAGTGCGCTGACGTTATGCCTTGTCTGTTTCAGGATGGCTGTGTCGACCAGTGGCCTCGTACACAGCCTGGCCACACTTCTCCGGAATGATGGTACAGTGAAGAAGTGGGGTTAAATAGGACACATTCGTTTGGGTGACAAAGGGTGCACAATTCAAGAAAAGCAGCAGCAGGGTTGCTCGCTTTCTGTGGGTGTGTTAACTCGGACTGACACTTAGTTGGACAACGTGAGCAACAGACAGCTTGACATTGTGAAGAGCAGCTATTATTGTGTCAGCCTGAGCTTTGCTGATCTGTGATCTTGAAGTTCATTTGCATAAAAGTTGAATTCCTGCACACTACCAGCAGCATGTTTCACATCTGCAGTATGTCCACCAGGAGCGCAGTAGAAACAACACTCTGACTCTGAAATTTAAGCTCAGTTTGCTGTGTGAAATTGGTTGCTGGATTCCTTTAAATGAACCGTCTCTCTCCCAACCTCCAGGAGACTTGGTGCTGGATGGCAGCAGTACGCTGACCTTGTCGGCGGCCAGCTTGCAGCAGCTCACCAGGCTGTTTGAGCAGTACTTGCTGTCCAGGAGCCAGCAGCATGGCTTCCTCGCACTGCCCTCCCACCCTGCCGACACCGCTTCCCTGCTCCAGCTGCAGTTCCTGTTTGACGTCCTGCAGAAGACCATCTCCCTCAAGGTGAGCAAGGACCACTAAAGGTTGGTCAGGTGGTCTCAAGTTCAGTTTTTTTACCTTTTAAAAAGTTTCCCAAGTGGACATTTGTAGTTATTGTAAGATTTAGTAGACCCCCCCTTTGGTGCCAGGACCCCCAGAGTTTGGTCAGGCATTCTCTGTGGTGTGTTTACTTTCACAGGAGTTATCGTATCCTGAGCCATCATTCTAAAAAGGTTGTATGTATTATTATTTTTTTTTTTAACACAGCTCATCAACCCACCAGGGGACAGACTTCAGTCCGTGGTGAAAATCTTCCCGTTCAAGTCTTTGAAGGGTTTGGAGGTAGAGTATGAACCCTGTCTTCATTTTCTTTACTTAATCTCTTCTATTCCATTCCTGCGTCTTCCCCACATCTGTCCTGAAACATTTTCACATGTTTCTTTTTCCCTCTCTTCCATACCAGCTGAAGCGAATCCCTCCACACTGTCTAGAGGGACTCAGAGGGGTTTACTCCCAGTTGGAGGTCTTCACGTGTTCAAAGAGCCTCAGTTCCCTGGAGGTACTCTTCTTTTGCACTCATCTTTATAGCAAGTGTCACTTAGTGTACTTATGGCTGTAAAAGAGAGGCTCAGAGTGATATATGTCTTTTTTAGGAGCTGCTCTCCCTGTGTGGAGGGGATCTGAGCTCTGCACTGCCTTGGCTGGAACTGCACACCCTCAACTTCAGCTACAACTCCATTGTCTGCCTTGACCAGTCACTAGTGAGACAAAGACCCAAACAGATGCATCATTACTGATTTTTTTTAGCTGCTGTAATCTGCCTTCAACCTTCTCTTCTCTTTCTTCCGTAGAGTTTACTGAACGTCCTGAAGTCTTTAGATTTAAGCCATAACAAGATTCGGGAGTGTGCTGAATTTCTAAAGGTTTCTGTTTGTTTAATTATAATGAAACACTGTTTTAGAAAATACATTTCCCTCTTTTCAGGCTTGTGACCCTTTGTTCTGCTTCTGTCTATGTCTTTTGTCCTCATTGCTGTTTCCCAGCCCTTGAGTGAACTGGAGCACTTGAACCTGGGCTACAACTGCCTGCAGAGGGCGCCAACGCTGGGCCTGAGTGCCAGGGCCAAACTCCTCACACTCAACCTCAGAAACAATGAACTGGAGACTATAAACGGTAAAGCATGCTGACACTGACAGTCTTGTTCTTGTCCTTTTAAACACAGACGATAAGAGAAAGTAGTCGGTGAATCCGCTCACAGAGCTTAGGGAGGAGTAGGCCAATGAAAACTAAAAAAAGAAGGAACACAAACTCAAATCTGTTACGAGCCAGTAGACTTTCTCTGACAGTGACCCCAACCTTCCACTGTTTTGGAAGTCCTTCTGTTCATCTTGGATATTGTTTATTGTCACACAGTGAAGCATTAGATAACCTTACACCTTATTATTACGTCTGTTTGGATGAGAGAGGAGAGTAGCATGATAATCAAATTAAATATTTGAGCTGCTCTTTTCTTCCATGAACTGCACTTGCATTGGAGTGCGTGCATTGTTTATGCTCTGTGTTCTTGATATCATCTCTGAGAGTCTTTTCCTGTCTGATCAAACAGGTGTTGAGCAGTTGTCTTCGCTCCAGCACTTAGACCTGGCCTACAACCTCCTGCTGGAGCACTCCCAGCTGGCTCCTCTCTCCCTGCTGCACTGCCTCAACACAGTAAGGAGACACGCACGAAGGCTCCAGTATTCTCATTAAGTGGACATGTTTTATTTTCTTTAGGTGTATGTGAGACAACGCACTGTAAAACGCTCCGTCTTCTTTTAGCTGAACTTGGAGGGGAACCCGCTGTACTTCCAGAAGACCCACCGCAACTGCACCGTCCGACATCTCTCCCCAAAGGCTGCAAACCTTAGAGTGAGTGATAATTATAGCTAGACTTTGTGCACCATTTTATAAAACTTGCAGAATGCTGAAGCATTAAAAAGATGATCAGTATAAAAGTTTCCTGCAAGGACGTTTGTTTTAGACATCAAGGCAGCAGCACCAATGGCATGTTAGCAGCTGTAGTACAAAACAGTAGCTGAAGACAGAAACATTTAAATTAAAATGGAAAAAATGGTATATTTGGGGTAGGCTGAGATCTTCAAATATACTGTCACAGACAGTAATAGCAGCTGTTGTTATGTCTTGATTTATCTGAAAGCCTCTTTAGAGGACAGAACAGCTCAAAAACAGCTTCCTGTCTACCATGTGTTAACTACAAGGTGTTTCTACATGACCGGCTGCACTGCAGGCTCCCACTGGCTGCTGATCTTCTGTCATATTGGGTTGTAAATCATCAACAGGCCCCTACTGATGATGACTAATGGAGAATTGATTGAGAACAATGTGACCAATGTTCCTTCTTTTGTTTCTTTCCAGCTCAAACTTGATGGCACCCGGCTGTCCTCGTCTGAGTTATCAGTAAGTTTCTCTTTTGAAAACTTATTTGTTTTTTTTGGGGGGGATTGCGTTTGACACAGAAGCAGACCTTTTTTTGTTAAAAATGATGTTCAATTGCATGATTTTGAGGTATAATATCCATTTATTTATACATGTATAGTATGTTACAGAGAGATGCAGTACATTGATAACACATAAATCATACTTTCTCTTCTTCTGAGTTAATAGTAGTCTAATATTGGACCACTCTCTTCTGCAGGTTTTGCCAAAACCAGGCCAGCTGATCGTGCAGGTACAGACTTCACATCCAGTTGTCATGCCACCAGAACGGAGCAACCAGGAAGTGTCCAGCGGTGCTGGGGAGCTTAGTGATAGTGTGTCAGCTGCAGAAGTGGGAGTGTCACACATTCGGAAGAAGAAATCCAGAGTAAGAAAGCTACTGCTGCTCATTGTTTGAAATTGTAATCTTTCTCTGTGCTGTAACATATTTTTTTGTTCAAACTATTTTGTGTTTCAGAGTAAGGTGAAAGTGCGGCGGGCCAGCATATCCGAGCCCAGTGATACGGATTACGAGCCCAGGCTGATTTCCTCCACAGAGGGTGGGTTGTAAACGCGTGCTCGTCCAATGTGATTCTACATTTGTAGTATCATAGCATATATTTAAATTCACTCCCTTTTCTCCCTGACTTTTAGTACAGCAGCTCACAGTGTCTCCTCTACTTTTAACAACTACCTGTTTGTAATGTTAATGACCAAAATTAAAGCTTATTCAGCTAAATAGAAATCTAAAACATAAATCTTAATACGTTTTTTTTTTCTCCACCAGGCATTGTCCTTCCCCACCAGCACGAGATTGAGCGCATGTCCAGCTTTAGAGAGCAGCTTGGTGAGGACTGGCTGAGGTACCAGCATCATCTAGATAGAGCCTCTCCCTCTACCATCACCACTGCCATCAACACCAACCAGCCAACTCCTCACCACCCGCCCCTCTCCAACGGCCACAGCTCCACCCTGCATCCGTCCGCCAGCCCTGGGCATCAGCCGTCTCCACCATCCCTGAAAGTCCCAGAGGTCCTCCCCCCGCCGCTCCTCTCATCAGAACCCAGGTTAGAGACGTCCAACCTGGATGAAGACCAGGAAACAGAGTCTACTCTACAGTGGCTCGGTCACAGCTCTTGCTTCACGGAGTCCACCTTGGAGGACGGCCCGGTGGCAGGCCAGGGAGAGGTGAGCTCACCTGGGCCGAGTCCGGAGTCCCAGAGGTCGGCTAGAGTGGAGAGCACAGACACCAAGGAGGAAGAAGAGGAGGAGGATCTGGGAGGTAGGGTAGTGCAAATCCTGTACAATAACACAAAGAGACAATCATTACTCCTATATTTGCTCTTCTGATGTCCTTTCTTTTCTCTTTTTTATTTTCTTCTTAGTGGACTTGTGTCACCCCCTACTTGTGGGTGTCTTATCCGACAAAGAGGAAGAAGACGGCGAGGGCCAGGGGGAGAGGAGGACGAGGAGGAAAGAGGTGTTCCTGTGCATCAAACAGGGCCTGGTGCTGGAGGTGGACACGCAGCGCGGCCAGGAGAGATGCCGCCTGGAGCTCGGCAGCCTGGCTCGGGTGGAGACCACAGTGGCTGCCTGGACCCGAGGGGTGAGAGGAGGAAGGGAGGAATGGAGAAATAGATGGAAGGATGGGAAATGATTTGTGAGGTTTTTGCATTACTGTATTAAAAAAAAAAAGAATATAAAGAGGTAGATAAAATAATAAGCGTTTAATCATTTGTCTGTTTTAACACAGATTAGAAAAAATACGGTCAAACGCAGTTCACTGCATTAATATTGTGATATTTATTTCAATCATAGGGCATGAAGGCCTAAGTGAAAGGACACATTGTTCCAAAGACTTTATTTCTTTCTCTCAGGAGACAGAAGAGATGCTTCCAGCGGTCGAGCTTCAGTTCGACTACATCAGCAGGGAGAAAAGGAGGAGATGCTACGTGCTGCTTGACGATGATCCACAGCAGGCACTGCAGGTTAATAATAATAACACACACACAGAAATTCATGAACACACTCTCCTGTTCTGTTGTCCAGGGAATATTTGATTCCTTTCAGAGGAAATATTAGAAAACTTGTATCTTGTAAGATGACAATTTAAAACTCAGATGCAAGATGTACTAGTCTCACACGTAAATCAGCATACCCACCCACTGACTCCTTGGACGCCTTGTACCAGTCTGGTCATGCTCACAGGCTGTCCTCTACTCAAACTGTTACCTTTGTTTTTCAAAGTGACGTCAGCATCCAGCAGCACAGTCTGTACCATGTTTACTACCATGTTTGAAACTTTGGTCACATTGTGCAACATCAACTCTTTTGCCAGATATAATTGTAACACACGGAGCCAACACCAATTCCAGTATGTGATGTTTTTTTTGTCAGATTTGTGGTGAGCAGTCAGAAAATTTAAGAATTGTGTTTTATAAACAGACACCCAGCTAAAGTAACAAGTATAAAACCCCAACACCTTTAACTTTTTCATAGCTGCTGGTGGCACAAGACAGATTGTCCTACTGTTTACAGAACCACTCAAACAGTTTCTCCTACAGTGCCAGCTATGATACACCGCTTCAAATTGTCCTTGAGCTCTACTGAGTTTTGTCCCTTTGAGTAGCTCGATGTAGCTCCTTCAGTTCCTAGTTTACAGCTGCAAAGTGCTTTTTGTGACCAAAACATCAGTTAGGAAGAGGGGAAGCTTCAGATCAGCAAGTTGACAACTTTTCTCAGCTGATGAGATTGACCAGAAAATACTGTATTCTGTGTGGTTGCTCACTTTTGTTGATCATAAATCAACTTTTTTTTTATATGGCAGTGTACAGTGTACTGTAACTATCACAATGTAAAAACAAGAGGTTTTTTGTTTTTTTTTGCTGACCAGGCTCTGACTGACGTGCTGTCACATGTGGCTGAGGAGAACCAGCGGCGTGACTCAGAGTTCTGCACCAGTTGCATTCGTCTGCAGTGCCTTCGCTGCAGGTCAGAGTTCACGCTTCAGGGAGAGGGCGGTGGGGAAGAGGCGGAGGGGAGAGCGCGGAGGAGAGGGGCTGCAATGCTACCAGGGGAAGAAGAACAAGATGAAGAGGAGCTGAGAGAGTGTGATAATGACAGCAAAGGTAAGTGTGATGAAAAGATTAAATTTACAGTGGCCTTGAAGCAACAAGACACATAAAAGGTTATTTAGCTTTTAGAATTTACCACATCTTTTTCCTTGTCTTTTTATATTGCTAATGTGGTCTTTTAAATACTACTGTTGTTGAGTATATTTCACATTTGCAAAAGCTGCTTGCTGTTTTTCATTTTCTCTCTTTGTTTTCATTTTGTATGTTTATTTGGCATAAATTGTATCGGCAGAAAATCCAATTTCCATCTGTAGACCCTGGCAAGATGTTACAAGCGCCCTAAAAATAAAAGGAACAAGAGGAACAAACAGCAACAACAAGACAATTAACATGCACAAATAAAACACAAGCAAAAAAAACAAAACAATACACTTGTTAATGTTTAGAGTAAAGCAGGGATGCAAAAAGAGAGATTCAAATCACTGACTATATGTTAAAAGGCATCTTCAAATAAAATTGGACAATGGAACATTTGATAAAAAATGCCAACTCATAGGTGAAATGGTGTCTAAGCAACGGATGTTTGACTTAAGCCTATATCTGTCATCTCTAGATGTGAAAGAAACCCACGCACCAAAGCCTTGATTCTGATTCCTCCCTCACACTGAGTCACGCACAGTCTCAGATGAGTCATGCTCAGGCTTATACCCTAAAAAAAATTACTTTTTCCCACTAAAACTAGCACTTTCACACTCATTTAATCAGTGTCAGCAGGTCTATTGTTCAAAAATTAAAGATTACGCTGAAGAGAAGGTCACACATTTCACTTGCCATGTCGCCACATCCATGCAAAAAAAAGTTATATTTGACGTCAAAACACTTCATGACTCCTCCTCAGCTATGAGGCTCCCATTGTAGGCTCCCATATGTTCCCAAAACAAATTTTGGTTTCAGGTGGGCTGGAGACAAGCATCCCAGGAGTTATCTCTTCTCTTTTATTGCCAAGCGGCCCGCTCCGCTGAGTTCCCACCTCTATAATCAGCAGCATTCGCTCCAGCAGCCACCTCCCAGTGCTTTGACCAAACCTGACATTAAGACCTGCTCCGGCACGCACAGACTACGCACAGGCTTTGTTCAACAGATGTTTCGTGGATTTCTTGGAGCAGTGCTCTTTTGTTAGTGTGTTTAGTCTGCTTTACATACCTTTTTCAGTCGCACGTGTCTGAACTTAGACGCTTGTTTGCCTGTGGCACAAATACAAGCCCTGCAGATACAAAACGCTGTTTCTTCCTCACATGAGGAGGTGGTATAAAGGTATAAATGCATGCTTGCTTTTTCCGTGCATTTTCTTGTATTTTAAGTCATTTGGTTGTGTCATGTTCTTTAATTGACACATGATATAGTTTTGAAATGCAACCGTATACTAATGCTGTGTAAGAGGTATACAGTATATAGATATAAATATAAAAAATAGGATTAAGATTGACATTAACATTTTATTTTAAAATAAAAAACTACTTGATGAATGACAATAAGGGTTACCACACCGTTTTTCAATGTCTACTATTGAGATGTTTTCACAATGACCATTATGTTGCTTTTTGGAAGCAACTTCCTGTATATATTTCTCTTTTTTTCAGGAAATAGTCATATTTGTCCAGATTGTGGTAGCGATCATGTGGTCCAGCTGGCTGGCCAGTCAACTCCCTACAGCAGTACGCCCATCCGTCACTCATCAAGGCCGGAGAGTGAGGACGATCATCTCGATATAACCCCGAGCACTCGTAGTGCCAATAAGGTCTTTCTAAACTCTAAAACACTTTCTCCTCTGTCTGTTTTTCCTCTTTCCTGTAAGTTAAATCACATCATGTCATTGTGTCATCTTTATCACAGCAGGATGATTACACAGATGCCAGTATTAGCAGTAGTCCTATCCTCAAAGCCTCCACCACTACAGAAGATCCCACCTTCATTACTGCCCAGGGAAGCTCTTTCTTCATTGGGGAAGGCCAAGCTGACACCTCCAGCCTCTCCTACAACACAGACTGCCAAAGTAAAGAGGATCTGGCTGGAAGCTACCACTACGCAGCTACAGGTGCTACGCCACCTGAAGTCCAAGCCCAACCTGCGGGAAGATCCACCCCCAATGGTGAGTTTTTTTCATGGTGTTTGCAGGTGAAACGTCTCAAAAAGCATCAATTCAGTTTCCTCAGAAAAGAAAAATGGCTGTCCAAGGGATTAAAAAATCTTAAGTCTTACCCTAACCTTAACCCGAACGAAACAGGTATTTAATTGCATTCCATGTGGTATTACAAAGTCAAGATTAAACTTGGTGAATCCTGCAGAAAGTGGCCGCTTAAGGGCTGCAACCAATAATTAACCTTCATATTAAAAAAGCCTTTGGTAGCTACTGTGCCTTCCTGTCTCAAAATGAAAACTAAAATAATTATTGCTGCAAGAGAGTGTAAATAGTGCTGAAAACCACATTTAAATCATTTTTACAGCATAAATAGTCCTGATTAATAAAACTGAAACTGAAAATGATATAAGAAGAAAAGAAAAGTTATTTTTACTAGGAACAGGGACATGGTACTTCAAAATAAAAGTGCTAAATTTGACAAAGTGGGATAAAGTTGACCCAATTGAGACGCACTCAGAATGGACCCATGGTCCTCTTTTGAACTGCACCAGCCTGTAACCACTGGTTTGATATATAACATGTCGTAACGTCTTCAAAATTTACCATTAAACAAAAAAAAAATTTACAGTCATGTATCTTTACACTTTAAAAGCTTGTAGAAACAACTGAAACAGTTAATGGATTAGAATAAATAGACAAATCTTGTCTAGCCGTACACTTTTTACTTCCATAATAACATTGTGATGTTGGCAGGGCAGAGGTTTGTTGGAGGAAAGCCCAAACAGCAGTAAAATATAAATGGTATCTTATTACTTGATTTGAATTGTACAGTTCATATGGTCATTGTCAAACACATCAACTGTGTCATGTGGTATAACTGTTTACGACAGTGTCCTTGCCTTTCCTAAAGATATATTTGAGTCCTAATTGAAAGTGAACGGAGATGGGAAGTAGTTGGATCTTGTGGATAATGTGTGGCACAGAAATCCTTCGCTCTGTATCTCTGAAAGCATCTGATTTCTCCCACATGTGTCTGCCATTTTTAGATGAACCACATGTGCAAAAAGACAGATTGGAATCATTACTGGAAGTGATGGGAGAGGAATGAAAGCCGAAGAGAGGGAGGGCTGAGTCGTAATAATAGCTTTCTGTATCTTTTCTTTTTTTTTTGTAATACTGTAGTTGCGCTGCCAATACCATGTAATCTGTCCTTCTGAAACCCCTGTCTCACACTGGAGACAACTTATACTCATCCTAAAAACACTGACACTGAATATAGTGTCTTCTTTTTTTTTGGGAGGGTGACACAGGGCACCCATTGTTGCGGAGCTGAGGCCTTATTTTACTTCTTTCTGAAGACGTGCTTTGTCTCTGTAGACAAATCCACCTTTGTGTGTGTGTGTGTGTGTGGATACATACACCTTTCTTCTCAGCAAAGGACATTGTCTGAAAGGTTCAAAGGCTTTTTTTTTCAATTCTGATCTGTTTGCACTCTTTGCAAATGAAAGACGTTGGGTTTGTTTTGGCCTCTGCAGGTCCGAGCCCTGTCATCTTTGAGTAACTGTAACCATTCATCAGTGTTCAAATAGCCTCCATTGCTGTTCATTGGTGGATTTATTGCTCTTAAATGCCTTTCTGTGTGAGGGCTGTTGGCTAATGCTACAGTGTGCTGCAATAAAATCTGGCTATGGTTTCATAAAAGGCAATAAATATGTAAGTCTCCACGTTGCTGCCAGGAAACTATGGCTTATCTGTTAATGCAAGATGTGATTTGAGAGATAGTAGACAAAAAAAGACATGTTGTCGATGTTTCTGTAGATGATTTGGACCTACTGTCTGAGGACTATGAGGCGGTGGACCATCGTCTACAGCTTTTCCTGGATGTGGAGGTCTTCGAGGAGGAAGAGGAGCTTCACTCTTTCCTCAAGGTATGTAAAAGTAAGGCTTATAAATATTAAAGAAAGCATGTTTTCTCTGTACCATAGAATATTCCAATACTACCTTAGCAACAAGCAGTGGACTGCAAGAAATATTTTGGAACATAACCCCCCAAAAAAACCCCGAAAATACTTTTTTACACCTGAGTTTTTGCATGGATTAAACAAACAAGATATAGCGTGTTAATCAGTGAGGCTTAAAGGTGGTGGTAGGTAGATTTTGTTTCCTTCTGATAGTGCCAGTGTCTCCCTGTTTACAGTCTTTATGTTAAGCTAAGCTAGCCAGTTGAGTTTAACACTCAGGACTCAGGAATGTGTTGGTGTAGTTGGATCATATATAACATGCAATGCTGACAACATAAGCAAACAACTCCATAACTGTCATCACAGACGCTTATTGGTGCATGGAAATATGTGAACTCACCTGTCTAATTGAGCCCCACCTTACAAGCCAGAAAAGCCAGGAAAAAAAATTACAAAGGACAAAAAAACAACAATGAAATTCTCAAATCTCTAATGTGAAATAATAAATGTGTTCATGTGGGACTCCTTCGCTCACAGTAAGAGGCCGATTGAGAACATACTGTGGGTTTTCAGGGGCTTTAAATCTTTACTGGAGTTAATATTAAGGCAGGGAAAAATGTTATTGCCAGACTCCGCTGTTTCAGCAGAATTTCGCCAGTGATGGATCACTCAAATTTAACAGGACAATGTTTTTATGTTGCTGTTATTGTTTGTTTTGTGATTGTGATTTTAAAAAGTCTTCTACCGTATCCCTCTGACGACCCAAAGATCCCTGCTTAATGGGTGGTGACAACTTTAAGACCTACAACACTTGAGCTGCGGTTTCGTCTCAGTCAGCCAAGATGAACGCAGTCAGTAACTCTCCCAGGAGCCCATTCAACCCCCATCTTTTTTTTTTTTCTTCTTTTGTAGCTTTTTTGACTAGTTTTTTGACCCCCGCTGTCACTCGGCATTCTCTGAGCCTTTTTAATATGCAATGCATCCTGGGAGCTCTTCAGATCAGCAGGCTATTGCTTTTCTCTGTCAGACACCTGGATGAGGAGCAAAGAGCTTGACAGGGCCGAGCACACCACAGCTGGAAACAGGAGGTCCTCCTCCATTCATCTCATTTCTGTTTATTTATCCAGTGACAGGGGCAGCTCGCTGTTTCACTTGTGCTTTTTCTTCTTCTGTTGTTTTAGAGGAAGTTAAGCAAGACCTTGATCTAGAGGTTAGATTTTTAAACCCTAAGGAGCTTGTGAAAACTGGTGTCAGCTGAGAATATGGTTGTTATTACTTCAGGATTGAATTTGTAGAGCTATGATCATTATTATGCTGTAGAACAACATATTCACAGGTGCAAGCAGCTCTTCAAAAATCAGTCTTTATGTCATGTGTCCCTTTTTCTGTGTGCCGTCAGATGTCCGCTGTCAAATTTGGGGAGCCAGGGGAGGTTCCCTCTCTGTTGGTGGTGACAAATCAGCAACTCTATTTCTTGGAAATGACATCAGAAACCCAGTGAGTTGAGCAACTTAATGCACAAACACAGAAATATTTTTTTGCATTTATCATACATGTAGGAATGAATTATGTGGGAATTTTAGCTGTAAAGGAAAAGAAAAGGTATCATTCTTTTCTACAAAAATATTCAGTTTTTCATTCAGTTTAGCACAAAATCACAAAATTGTCTCAGTGGGCTTTAAAATCCTTAGACCCTGAATTTGTAAAAGGAACACCTCAACAAATAATCCCTTAATGGGGATCCTCTTCCTGGACAAAAAGACATGCAATCTTTGCACATGTACAGTTTAGTTAAAACCTGTTTAAAATATTTTTGCACACCATACCTACTGCATATAGTGTATATATTTGTAATTATGGTCTTTATATTTTCTGTTACATCTTTATAATATATTATAATTTTATCATTCTTGACTGTAATTTTACACTCTGTACTTTCTGCACTGTATTTCCCCTGTGCTGCTGTGTCAAATTTCTCCCAAGGGGGGATCAATAAAGGAACATCTTATCTTATCTTATAATAGTGCAATAGGTGCCACATATACAGAGTAAAGTTAGTAATATGATGTCAAGCAACTTCTAGGTGTCACCAAGAGCTGGTGTACCTCGACTTCTAAAGGTGTTGTGTACTACCAAAAAGGAAAGAGAAAAAAGAATATGAAATAAATGAATGCTCAAGTTAGGTAAAGTAGGACTCTTACAGATAACTTAGAAGATTAAAGCTAAGTCAGTGAGACATTGACGCAACACATTCCAATTTATCAAAAGAGTAATCAAATCCTGCTGGTGTGGACAGTGATTCAAAAGAGGGCGCCACATTGCAGTTAACAATTATGACTTTCAACTCGGGTGTGTAGTTCCACACCCTCCGCTTAGGATGTGGATTATATTGCATAACCTGCCCAGGTTTCTGGGTCACATCTTGAGAACACATTGACCTTGCAGTGTCTGTGGACTGCGGAGCCGTTTCTCCTCCTCCTAGTTTTTCGCCCCTTTGTTATTTTTTCTCTCCTCCATCACTAAGATGAAGAGCTTTTCTTCTCTCGTCAAAACAAGATCCATTTCCCTCAGACATGAGCCTGTGCCATGAATGCTCTTGCAAACTTACTGTGATTCAGACCGCAGGAACTGATTCCTCTTGTTCTCGGCACTGTGCAAGAAACTTTTATTTTGACCATGTATCTTCAACCCCTTAAAAAAAATGAGGTTTTACATGAGTTATTAGCTCAAGTTGTGTTGTGTAAACGTTGGCTTTAGCAAACACATTTTAAAGTGTTGTTCTGGCAGTCACACCTCCAAGTGTCAGAGATCATTTCCATCTAATCCATCTAACTGATGCCGCGTTTTCTGCACTTTCTGATGCCTGACGTTGTTTCCTCCCAGCACAGGCCAGCTCTCTGATTGGCTACAGAAGCGGGACAGCCACCCAATCGTGGAGCTCAGCTACCTGGAGGTGGGGCTAGGCTCTCAGAGCATCCACATGGAGTTTGGAGACGGCGGTGTGGCCTACACTCTTCTCGTGAGGGACAGTTTACGCTGCAAGCGCTTCTTTGGCCTGTTGACAGGTAAAAGGAAACACTGCCTAATACAAGCAAAAGTGGAAAACAGTTTTTCTTTAACATATGGAAAAACACATAAAAAGAAGTTTCATTTCTGAATATAGTCACATAGAGAAACTCAGTGACCTCAGCTCCCTCTGTACTTACTGGTTACACTGGTTTCAGCACTTTCCTCAGGGCCCTTTGAGGGAACATGCCACAATAGAAACCATGGACTAATTTGTTTTTTGGTTATACTGTTGAACCACTGAGGCAGGTATTGGAACAGCATGTTCCTCTTACAGAAACTGCCCCCCACCCCCCCCTCAAAAACTAATACTATACCATATGTGTGCTATGTGACGCAAATTTCTGCCCTGTCCCCCTCGGTATTGGGTTCTTTCAGACTGCGCACATCCTGCCCAGACTAACTTGCCTGCAAGGGAGGACCAACGGCTGGGAGGAAAACCTTTTATTAGATGGGGGGGGGGGGCTCCTGCTCGGGCCTGGAAAAATATGGAAAATGAATCTGACAATAGCCAGCCCCTAAACATGTGGAGAAAACAGGAAAACATCTTGGCACGTGTGGAGTATTGCTGCTCATTTCTAGGAGACATAATTCTACATTTTGTGACGTATGGAGGTATTTTCCAATAATTACTGTTTCATATTACCAATTTGAGGCTACAAGCAAAAAAAAAAAAAAAACCCCTTCAAATTCAGTCAACAGACATGCTGATTAGAGAGAGCCACTTTTTCCACAACTCTGTTTCTGTCCAGCTTTCACTCATACCCAACCAAGCAAGAATATCTTTGGAAGTACATGGAAACCTTTGTTTCATGTATTATCTTCTAGCATATCATACAGTTTTTTCAATACTTTCTTCATTCAGTAAAAGTC